TGTAAAGTTATAAGAGCTGTTATTTACTTACAGAAAATGCAATAACATAACCCAAGTGTCATTTCTTTATCTGATGAAAAAATGCATCTAATTCTGAGACTTGATTATTTTGTTTACCAACTGGAAGCAAGCAATGTGAAGAAGCATGGGTTTTTTTGTGTTCTCGATTGCCAGATCGTCCCCAATATGCTGTGGTTACAAAGGGCGTGGCCACTTGATAAGAGTAGCAGTCCTTGGAGATGAATTTCTTGGGAAATCTCTTTGAACAGTCATTTATTTTCCTGAGGAAAAAGAAGACAAAACTATAAGCAGAATGTGCAATTTCTGGTTTTCCATTGAATCTGGAAATGTCAGAGCTAATGGAGAGTAGTTAGGAATGAAAATACAATGCATTGAATTGGATATAAAACATGCAGCAGGTTGCTTTTTTTGCTGCTATAAGAAAATGGCATGCACTCAGTCATTTTATTTCTGCAGCAGATTCTTTGATACACAAAGGACCCTGGGGTTGATGTAGGGCTGTACATTGCTTGCTGGAAAATTCTTTAAGCCATTTTCATCTTCCATCAATGTGTTGTTTCATCATAGTCTTTTTTAGATCAACTAAGGACCAAGGAAGCTGTTCTCTGATATAATAATGAGGGAAGAACATTGACTTCCTTGCTTTCCAGTTGGTAAGAACTTTGCTAAGCCAAAGTAGATAATTTCTAGAGAACTCAATAAGGACTTTGACTTTTCATCATGACATTTTAAGGTCTAGCATCTAAAGAATAAATTTATTATAAAGTCATCAATGAATAGGAAAGAATCAGATCTCTTGTCTTCTTTTATGCCAAACTTTCCTGTCCTGCTTCCTATTCTCTTATCAGTCTTTCGTAAGTCTTTTTCCTTTCCCTCTGAATCTTTTGGTGTTCACTCCAGTTCTCTCTTTTGGCCTTTTTTTCCACCCTGTATTTTCTTTCTTGGCAATCTCACCACTTTCACCATTTCAACCATCCTGAACAATTTGAAAACTACAACCAGTCCCAACATTTCCTTGTAGTCCAGACTTCCAAAATGTTAACAACAACAATGGCAATATTCACTGTGTCCTTAGTATGTGCAAGGTACTGGGTTACCAAGTATACATGCAGGATTTCATTTAACTCTTAGAACCACCACCAATGAGGCAGATGCTATTATCATCTCCATTTTATAAGGAGGAAACTGAAGTTCAGTGATATCAAGCAGTTTGTCTAGGGTTACAGTGATAGAAAATGTCTAAACTCAGCTTTAAACCCTGATAGTTTGACCCTAAAAGGAGGGTTTTTCAACCATGGAGATCTGCCTCTGAACCACATGCTAAACATCTTCCTCTGAATCTCCTACAGGCCTCTTAAAGCCAATAAACATATCTGCTTCCCCTTTGGCAATTAATTCATGCATTCAACCAAGATAAAATTTGTCAAGCATCACTGAGGACCAGACCTCGGCCTATGCACTAAGGATAAAATGTTGAACAAAACAATAGTGGTCCCTGCATTTATAGAGTTTATTATTTAGAGACGGGAGACTCATTAATCACATTATTATGCAAATAGGAAATTAATTTCACATTGGAATAAGTGCTAAGAGGGGCAAGTACAATATGCTGTGAGAGCATCTAACAAGAGAGCAGCCTTCTCTGAAAGGAGGAGGAGGGAGAGGGAGAAAGACTTCCATGACAGATTGCTAATTAAGCTGAGATTAAAAAGATGAGTAGTAGTTAACTAGGCAGAGGATGACTTCCGGGCGGAAATTATAACATCTGCAAAGGCCTTGGGGGGGTGGGTAGCATAGCGCATTAGAGGGAGACTTGCATATTAGAGAGACTAGAAAGAAGATAGATATATCTAGGGGAGTGGTAAAAGTTTTCAGTATAGACTAGGCAAGCAAGGACAAGACCAAGTAGGCCCTTCTAAGATGTATCAAGTATTTTCATCTTTTCCTACAACCAATTAGAGAAAATCCATTATGGGAGGCTTAATACTTATAGTGAAAGAATAAAATTTATGCTTTGAAAACATCACTCTGACTGTTATTGGGAGACTGAATTGGAGGGGAAGAGTAGATTCAGGGAAACTAACATGGAGGATATTTCAGTGGTCTAGGTGAGAAAAGATGATATCTCTCATTACTCTTTAGAGAAGGGTGGTAGCCTTGGAGATAGAAATGAAAAACACTCGAATCTACTTTACCATTGGAATCAGAAATCTTGGGGTCGTGTCAACTTCATTCTTTCTCCTACTCCTCTTATCCAGTTATTCTTCTGTTGATTTCACCTCAACGTCTTTTGTATGTTTTCCCATATCTCTATTTGTTTTTGACATTTGTCAAAGACATTTGTCTTTGAGCATGTCCATCCCTCTCCCTGCATTTCTCTCCTCCTTCTTAATACCATTATAGCTATTTCCCACCCGCAAACCCTGCCCAGGCTGGTCCCCACTGCCAGCACATCTGTATAATCCCCCGGCTCTCCATGGCATACCTTCATGCCAGCAGTCTCTTGAGAAGTGCCCTTGCTTTGATCTATTTTCTGTCTACATTACTTGACTATAGACCAGAAAAGGAAGAGACGACTGTAGCATTACCTCTTCATGCTTCAGGCCTATGATGGAAGTGATGGTGCTACTGACTAAAAGAGGGATGATCAGATTTCTGAGGAACTTGATAAGTTCAGTTTTCAAGTATGCTGAATCTGAAGTGTTTATAGATTATATAGCAGACAATTGAAAATATGGGTTTAGTGCTTATAGAAAAGTCTAGGCTAGTGATATTATTTAGCAACAAAAGTGGCTATTGAAGCCATGAGTTTATCCAAGAAAAGTACAGATGGAGGAGAGGGCTGAGGATGGAGCTCAGTGGAAAACTCTCTTTTGAAAGGGGAGTGGGAGAAGAGAACCCTGGAAGGATACTGAGGAAAAGTTGCTGGAAAGGTAAGAGAAAATCAGGGGAGGATAGCATGGAAGAAGCCATGGAAGGGGAGAATTTCAAGAAAAATAAACTGATTACTATGTGGGTAATGTCAGTCTTGTTGTCTGCTCAGCAAAGCTATCTCTATTTGAGACTCACCCCACCACTATCCCAGGTAGTTCTAGTGGTACCGTCAGTTTCAGTGTTCTGCTTGCATTCTGACACAGGGTAGACATGAAACTCAGATCTGACAAATCATAGCATAGGATTTCCCTCTTTAAAAGGATTGGTCCAAATTAGTAGGAATGTGATGGAAGCAGAGCCTGCATTTTTCCAAGTGAGAGTGGTTTTCCAAATTGTGTTGATAGTTTTTTTTTTTAAGCCACAAAAGGCAACTATGGGTGCATAAACCAGCTGTTAAGTCTATAAGTGGGTTATACAATCCAGTTCCTAGAATCTACCATTTGGAAATTACCCTTATTTTCCTGGTTAGAGCTTACAATGAAACTGCTGTGTTAGTTAAAGCATTTTTAAGATATTCTTAAATATAAAGTACATGATTAATATTAACTTAGGTGACTCTATTGTCTTGGACACCATTTGCAAGAGATGTATTACGGTAATCTTAACACTTTGAGACGAAACTATTGTAAGAAGAAAAAGAAAAGACGGTTCATTAAAAAAACACTTTTTTCAATAAGTAGAAGATAAAAACAAGGATAAACAAACACATAGCAACAGAGATTGGATTAGTGGTTACCAGAGGGGAAGGGCAGAGGGAGAAGGGTGAAAGGGGTGATTAGGCACACGTGTGTGGTGATGGGTTGTAATGTGTCTTTGGGTGGTGAACATGATGTGATCTACACAGAATTCAAAATATATTATGATGTACACCTGAAAGTTATATAATGTTATAATCTAATGTTACAGCAACAAAAAAAATTAAAAACCCACTTTTTGCAGATCTAATGAAAACCTAGGGTTGGTCATCATGCAAAATTATGATATTCAATCACAGGACTGTCTCTCAGTTTCAGACTCTCATTAGCCATCTTCTGTAATGAAAGAAAATGTCTTTAATCTTGATGGATGATCAGAAGGATGATGTCAGCTCATATCCTGACTATTTCACACATGGGACTTTCATAATTCGTCTCTCAAAGAGGAAATCTTGCAGTCACTCTTAATGAATCTTTTTTTTAATTGAAGTATAATTGACATATAGCATTATATTAGTTTCAAGTGTACAACGTGAAGATTTGATATTTGTATATATTGTGAAATGATCACCACAATAAGTGTAGTTAACATCAGTCACCACACGTATTTACAGAAGTTTGTTGTGTATGTGTTATTGAATCTTAATCTGCTTCCTCTCAACTACTTACTAATCAGAAATGTGAAGAGGATCATAAAGTTTTAGATTAGAAGGACTGTTCAAGATTATATAATATTCTAATCCTCTCCTTATACAGATGAAGAAAATGAGGCTGAATTGTCCAAGGTCACTGGGTTGGAGGCATATCAGGAACTTTTCCAATTCTTAGCCCAGAAACACTGTCACCTTCACATGCTGGTCTAGAATTATCCCTTCTTAAACATTAAAGGGAGCAAAACCAGCCCCTGACTTAAAATGGCTAGAATGGCTTTATTATTAAATGTGCCAAGCTATAAGGTTAAGTGGGGGATCATATAAATAATATGATTAATACTTCGTGACCATGTGCTTTGTCTCTTCATAGTTGGGATGTGAATATAGTTCACAGCAGCTAAGGAGACCCTGTTCATTATAAATGCTATGTAACAGCTGCACAGTATCACTCTGGCTTTTGAAAGTTTGTGAAGTAAAGCGAACTACCAAAATAGCATTAACTTTATTTGGTTTATGAGAATTATTTTTGACTAATTGTATATCTTGACCAAGATTAATAACATTTCATAGTTTAGATTTCTGATCTGAGTCTGCTATTTTTATAACCACTGTTACGAGCGGTGGTGCCCTGTCTTCTTTGTGGCTCATTATGAAGAACTGTCTGATATGTCCAGCTGAATTCACTGTACTCCTGCAGTCTTCCTGAAGGATGCCCCAGGAACCCTGAAGAATGAATCAAAACATGCTTTCAGATGCCTGTCGGTTGACTCCAGCTGAATAGACTTCATGGAATAGTCCACAAGATAGGTACTTCAGGAGCTTTAGCACATTCCATTCTATTGTGCAGTTACCGTGGCTGGAGCTGGCAGCCATCCCACAATACCATGACTTGATGAGATTGAAAGGGCTTATCATGTACCAAATTTAAGCACTGCCAAATTGTAGTGGACGCTGTCACGCACAGCCCCAATCCCCTTTAATGAAGGGCTTGTTGGGAGTGCTGTCAGCAGACATCCTTCAGTTGTCAGCCCCTTCAGTGATTACCTTGGCAATAGACAGCCATCTCGCCCAGGGTCATACCCTTCCCCAGATGACCCATGTCCAATGATTGATGGAGTGTAAATTCTGATTATCTGGGCCAACTCTAAAGGTCCATTCCAGCTCCAGAGTTCCCCATGGCATTGGCCAAGGCTCTTTTCAGGTGGTCACTGTAGCTTGACTTTCCTTTATGCCCATTTCTGCTTCTACTCCCTTCCTTCCCCAAATATTGATCCCAAGGACACTCGTAAATAAACATCTTGTATGCAAAACTTTATCTCCAATTCTGCTTCCCAGGAAACTCAACCTGGGACATAAATATTTACCTTTTTCCTATTAGCTGAAATGTATTATCATCTATTTGCATGTTGGCAATGCTATACATAGAAAAATATGTTTACAGAAGTCAACTTGTTTTTCAGGAGGATGGAAAATAGTGCAGAAGCAAGACGGATGGAGAAAACAGGAGCCATGGCTCCTTATACACTAGGTGGAGCAAGCGGGAGTCTTGGCCAGGCTGTAGGTGGTTACAGCCTCGCTTGAGGGGCAAGCAACTCCAAATAGGTATGAATGGAAGTAATTTTTGCAATATTGTTCCAGTTCATTATTGGGGAAGTTAGGTCGCTGCAGGTGGTACCAGTGGGAAAGAGATCTGCTGGTCAGGTGCTACCCAGTATTGCCACTTGGATGCTCTGATTAGTGGTTCTAGATGTAGGGTTAATATGTACACTTCCTAAGCTTCAAGTTCACTTATCCATTTATTGTTCTTAGTAAATGGGAATATTTGTCTTGACTACTTTCGTTACTAGGTGTTCAGGAATGGCTAGAGATGAGGAGGAGGTAGAAGTTTCCAAAGGATACCAGATACGTTGGGCAGTCCTTTCACTTGGCACTAGACCCCCATTAGTGCATTGCTCACTATGGGTAGGGAATAAAAGTTTGATGAATTAAAGTTTTTCGTGAACTATTTTGGATCTGAGAAGGGACTGAATCTAACCCAAACCCTCAACTAATCAACATAGTTTTTCAGGTATGTTACTTTTAAAAAGAAGTAGGAAATAGTCACAAAATAAGCTTTTAAGAAACTTGTTCAATAAAAAAATGCAAATTTCTCACTTTATCTTGGAGCCAGTCTACATTCACTGCAATGTCTTCGAAGAATTTGCATCTGCATGGTCAATGCTGTAAAATACATTGAGTTTACAGTCACGCCCTGACTCCTGGGAGATAAAATCTCTGTATTTAAAATGACAGCCCTGACTCAGGTAAGAACTTCAAACAGTAAAAATTAATTCAGTTAGGTTTGCAAGAGAGAGATCAACTTACTAGAAACATGAATGGATAACACAAAATCATTTCTGATTTATTCTCCTGTTTACTAGAAAATTCAGTTAACAAGAAAAGCCGGCACCCTGTGGGGTCTTGTTAAAGTTTCATTAGCTGGATCTAACAGAGAAGTGAAAGGAGTCTTTGAAAGAACTTTTTCCTTGAGGCAACTTTGCATGTAACAGAAAGTGCTGAAGAAATACCCTTCTTAAGGGAAAAAAATCTTTCTTCTTTGGATTAATGACCTAAGGACAGGTTGGAAATAAAAATGGTAAAATATCACCCAGAAACAGAGAAAGCAGGACAAGGAAACATAGACAATTGCTTTATTTATGAAATGAATTTTTGAAAATCATTGAGTAGAGCATGAAGAAAGGCATTCGGTTTTGGAACTAAACAGTTTAACATTCAGTGTTGGGAATTATGTATGTACACATCGCATTTCTTAGAGAAATCTCAAGCATATTTTCATTAAGCTTACTTATATGGAATAGATAATATAAATAGCAATAATAACCACAATAATTTATTCAGCGCGTATTTTGATTTTTATGATTTTGCTTTGATTTTTTATAATTTTATGATTTCTTAAAATACATGTGTAGGTATTATTTAATTCTGTAGTTTCTCATAGTTTTAGAATTATTCTTCTTGTTTTACACATGAGAAAAGTAGAAGACCAAAAAGTCAAGGTCACATTTTTCAATTGGTAAAGGAGTTGTGGGAGGTAAACCTCCTTCTGACCTCAAGCCTTTTCCAGGCACGCCACACTTACAAGCGTTAATTCTTCTGGTAATTTTCAGCAAACTTACAGAGCAGACAGCCAAGGCACATTGCTGTGGCTGTTCTTTCCCTTCTACACATGTGGGATCGAAGAAGATCAATTCCTGGAATTGCTTCAGCTCAGAAAGCAGGTCAGCAAAACAGCTGGAATTGGAACAAATGTCCTAGCCTTCTCACTTTTTCCTTTCAGAAGGAAGTAGATTTCCTATGCGTTTTCAGAGCTCGGCCAGATTGGGACTGCCAGAGGGTGGTAGTCACTCTGCCTCTCCCAGGTGTGAAATATATCCACAGCTACTAGATGTTAATGTTCTTTCTGACAATTTCCTTCATGCTCTGTAATTTCAGCCCCCAGCAGTTCACATCTTGTTTTACTTTCTTGAATTTATCTTAACACAGTCATGCCAATTAAGCTCTTAAATAACAGGAAACTCAAGGAAATAGCAATAAAGATTAAAGATATTTCCCAGAATCTCATGCGCCAGTGAGCAAGAGGCTTGAAGTCCTTTAGTTATGGTGTCTAGGAAAAGACACCATAAAGTCTAGGAAATAATTTTCCAGCTTCCACATTTATGAGAATCGTTTACCGTGACTTTTTTAGCGGCGTCTTTACCATCATTCTTCTCCTCCGACACAAAATGGGTCACTCTGTATGCCAGACGTTGTGCTGGAACATTCTGCTAGGCAATGTATTTTGATTAGCAGCAAAGTTCTGTGAATAGCTTATCTGAATTTCTACTGCAGCTTTTGAAGTATGTTTTGCAGATATGTAGATTTGTTACATGAGTATCTTCAAATGTTAGTACACTGACACCTGACACCTAATTAATCCAAACCTACATGGATAATTCCCAATCAAACCAGCTCTTATGAACCTGGTAATTATAGCACTGTTTTCCTAGTTGGGGGGCTAAAAACTTATCATCTTTTCATTCTCTTCATCTCTCTTCCTCTTTAGGTAATTAGATACTGTGTTTTGTTGTTTCTGCCTTCTCAATATTTCTCCAATGCTATGTTTCCCAAATTTGGTGTATGAAATACTAGTATACCATTAGATGTTTACAGGCTTTCTGTGGGATCGAATGAGTTTGGAAAATGGTGTATTAAAGAAAATTAAACACATTTCTTTATGGCAAGACTTCTCAGGTCTTTAATATATTTGTGTGCATTCAAATGTTCAAGAGAGGAATGTAATATATGACATTTCTAATGTTTATTTGATCAAAAACAATCCCCTCAATTTCCCAATTACATAAATACTAATAAGAACATTGATACTAATGGATATTCAAAGATGTTCATTAGTAAATACTGGTATTCTAGTCTGGGAAATACTGCTGGAATCTAGTCTCTTGATTTCCTTGACAATTTTCTATCCAGACCCAGTCATCTTGCTCAAGATTCCTATCGTGGATGTTTCACAGCTGTCTTTCTCTCCAATCTCTCATCTCTAAATTTAGCTTTTTCACTACTATCACCGGTATCTTTCCAATGCATAGATAAGATGTTACTTTCCTCCTGAAAATCATTTAATTTTCCTTAGTATTGCTAGAATAAATTACCTATATAATAAACTCTTTGGTATGGTATTCTAAGTCACTGATGATGAAGCCATAACATTTTTTCTATCTAGTCTCTCCACAAATCTAGAATATTCTTTGCTAATGACAATCCATTAACCTGGAGCAAAATTCTATTCATTTTTAAGATCCGTCTCAAGCATTTGTAACCCAAGTATTACCTGGGGCTAACCTGTCCCAATGTAACTTGCCTTCTTCACCTCTAAGCATAGAAGATGGCATTAATTTCAAAACTTTTGCCTCACTAGGTACATGTTACAAAAGAATATCAAAATCAAGTACAAGAAAATAAAAATCACACCTAATCCTACCACTTCAGAATGACTGTAGTTAAAACCTGCCATATATCTTTATACTAATATATATCAATGTCTATCTGTATCTATTTATATTCATCTATACACACTCACACAACTTGTACAACACACCCACACACCACATGTCACGTGCAACACACACAACACACACCACCCCCCACGGAGCTCATGCTATACTATGTGGTCAGTTAATGAATGTTTACTGTGTCAAAAATAGAATCCTAAAGGGAGATTGGAACATTGTGCGGAATTTAACAATATACATTTAAAAATTGATAAATATAAATGTCTGCAAGTGAGTTAAAAATGCACGAAAGAGAGAGTGGCTTTGTAACAATATGTGTAGAAAAGACAAAGGTTTTGGTTCATAGGAAGCAGCACATATTCAAAAGTATAAAAGTCATAAGTCACTCTTAAAAAGTTAACAGGATTTTAGCATTACTGGAAATATAATATCTGATAAAAGAGAAATTTCTGTCTCACTCTAGTCTGCTTTGTCAAGACGCGCATACAATAACGTGTTTAATTCTGGACCCCGACACTTCAAGAGATACGAACCAAACTGGAAAGTGATTAGATTGTGAAGGAAAAAATAGATGAAGGAGGTACTCAGGGGAGAGAAGACTCAGGGGGACATGAAAACTACCTTCTAATTTCAGAGGGAATATCACCGAAAAGAGACATTACGCTTGCCTGAGTATTCTCAAGATACAGAAATTGAATATGTGTGAAAAATGCAGGATTTCAGCTTTTTGATCTAACATGCAGAATACACCATTGAAATGTAACCACACAATCTATATTAATATGACTCTCATATTTAGCTTTATATTGAACACCAAAACCAAATGATATATTTCTTCCCCTAATATCTTAAAGATATAATATTTCAAAATATTATTTTCTGTACTTATTGATTTTTAATTAGTCTGAAAGTTACATACAGTTTTTCAAAATGATTGTACCAATTTATGCTTCCACTTGCTATGAGAGCACATTTCTGTTCCATGTCATCGCCAAACTTTTTTCTTTTTTTTTGAGATAGATTAGCCCTGAGCTAACTACTGCCAACCCTCCTCTTTTTGCTGAGGAAGACTGGCCCTGAGCTAACATCCATGCCCATCTTCCTCTACTTTATACATGGGACTCCTACAGCAGCATGGGTTTTGTCCAAGTGGTGCCGTGTCCACACCCAGGATCTGAACCGGTGAACCCCAGGCCGCCCAGAAGCGGAACATGCGAACTTAATCACTTCGCCACCAGGACAGCCCAGCCCAGCCAAAATTTAATATTGATAGTCTTTTTGCTTTTAGCCATTTGGGAAGATATGCACTGGCATCTGAAAGTGTTTATAATTTGCATTTCTTTCAGTTTCTTTTCATACGTTTATTGCCTATTTGGATTTCCTCTTTTTCCAAGGGACCATTGAAATCTCTTTCCCATTTTTCTTAATGACTGTGTTTTTCTTGTTGATTAGAAATAGTTCTTTATATATTCTGGATACAAGGCCTTTGTCAGTTATTGAATTAAAATATCACTTCCACTCTGTAGCTTGTCTTTTTAGTCTCTTTATGAGGTCTTTCCAGGAACAGAACTTCTAAAATTTAGTGTAATCATATTATCAATCATCTCTTTTAAGAACAGTGCTATCTGTGTCCTATTTCAGAAATACTGTCTATCCCAAAGGCACAAAGATATTTTCTTATAATAATTTTTAGAAGCTTTATTGTTTTGCCCTTCACATTTAGAACTTCCCATATTTATTCCACCTGGAACTGGTTTTTGTGTATGGCATGAGAAAGGGGTCAAAATATAAAGTTTTCCCTCTGGATATCCAATTCACCTAGCAGTTATTGAAAAGATGGCCTTTTCCCCCAATACTCTGCAAGCCATCTTTATTATAAGTCAAGCGTCAACAATCGTGTGAAGGCTATTTCTGGATGTCGTATTCTGTTCCCTAAGACTATTATCTGTCTTTGGCCATTAGCATGCAGTCTTAATCATGGTAGCTTTACATTAGATTGACATCCGGTAGAGCAGGCTGCCTACCTGTTTCCTCTTCAAGAATGACTTGGCCATTCTTAGTTATTGCATTTCCATATAAATTTTAGAATCTGTCAAATTTTACAGAAAAAAACTGTTGGGAATTTGATTAACATTGCAATGAATCTATAAATCCAATTAAAAGAATTGATATCTTTGAATTTTGAGTAATTTTATCCATGAAAATAATGAAATTCTCTGTTTATTTGATGTTGACGTCTCTTTTTATTTTACAGTTTTCTGCTTACAGATCTGGGAAAGAAGGATTTAAAGCAGCTGACCTGTGATCCATTTATTTCCCTCTGATTACTGACCTGGTCTATCTCCTTATAAACCTAGTAACTGGACCTCTAGACAAATAGAATAATGACAGTTGCTAGAAGAGTCCTTATCTATAGAATGATTTGAGCAAGATATCCCTGGTTTAGGATTGCTTATTATAAACAAACCTACAATTTATGGATTTATGAGGTATGACTCCTTGGAGAATGTCACATAAGCTATAAAACTCTCTGGGTTATAAAATGAGATGTTTCCTAACTTAAAATTTCCCCATTGTGTGAAGTGACCTACAAATCTCATTAGAGACCTCATCTATTATTCAGGACCACAGATCTCCTGTCTGATGCAGGAAAGAGGGCCTTAGGGAGCCACATAGGAGGCTTCAGTCCTTTTCCTCTTTTGCTGGTGACTTGATTGCTTGTGTGCTTGAAATTATTAGTAACACTTAATAAAGGGTCAGAGTTCTGATTTGGATGAATTGTATCTGACAAGCACATACTTTGTATTAGGTCAAGGTCTTGCACATATTTTGCTACATTTATTCCTGGGTACGTGGCATTTTCATGCAATTTTAAATGCAGTTTCTAAGTTCTTATTTTCTGTTTGTGGCTGCAGTATAGAATTATAGTTGCTTTATTTTTTAAATCAACCTTTAATGTTTTGATTACTAATTCTAATGATGTATATTTTTGGATTTTCTACACATACAACCATGTTATCTTTGGATTTTGATAGTTTTATTTCTTGTGTTTCATTATTTATGCCTTTTATTAACTTATCTTTTTGATTTTTTGCACTAATTATGAACTCTGGTATATTATTATGAACTCCTCAATTTTAGAAAAGCATTAAATAGTTCGCCATTGATTATAATGTTAGCTGTAGGTTCTTTTGCAATGCTCTGTGCTAGATTAATAAAGTTCTCTATTTCTTGTTTTCTAATAGTGCAATTTTTTTAAAAAGTCATGAATGGATGTGAAATTTTTTCAAATGTTTTTTCTGGGACAAATGAAATGATTTTTCTTCTTTATTCCATTCTTGATATTTGGGATGCTGATATGAAAATTAAATTGATTTTTTTTAACTTTTCAGTGGCCGTAAGGCTTCATCCAGGAAAGCATAGTATTACAAGAAGCAGAAGAACAGCAAAGGTCCAGAAACGTGTTTCTATTCTTGCAATTATTATTATTATTATTGCCACTGTAACTATCTTAGTAAAACAGACATTGTAAATTTTGGAGAGAGGCTGAGACAGAAGTAGAGATAACAGAATAGAGTCTTCTGATGCTCTGCTGATTCTGTGTCCACTATCAGCAGTCTCTGGGTGACCATAAAGAGCGTTTCTTGTTTTCAGTCTGAAACTTCTAAGGTACAAGTAACCCATTCGTCATGGTAATAACCTCTATTAATCTTTCATTAAATAAGTTGAGCAAGTTTTAAAATAAATTCTGTACTAAATAGTCCCTAAGGGTCAAAGCTTTCCACAGAGAAGTTAAAGACATTTTAGGAGAATGTGTGGGAGTGGGACCCACTAAATTTGTACTTATATGGCTTCATGTGGGGAGATTCTCACTGTTTGCATTAAAGGTATGGCATCTCCAGACAGAGATTACTAACTGCCCACAATTATGGATGTGGAAATGAAAGCTCAGAAAGGTTAAGTGACTGACAGCAGCCACACGTCCCATAAGTGTGGTGGGGTCATCATTGGAGCTCACAACTCTGATCCAGTGCATACTGTGCCAGAGTGTGACCAAAAATAGGAAGCCTTGAAATCCACAACAAATAGGGGATTTCCTACTAGATGTCATCAAATATAAGTCATTTAGATAAGCATAATGAAAACAAATATTCTGGAAGAAATATAGGAGAAAGGCAGGATTTCCTTAAGGGTCTGATATTCTCATTGCTTTCAGCATGGCATCCGTCAAGCTCCAACTTGTAGGATGAGGTGCTTTGTTTGGTTGTTTCCTAATGTATTTAGCCAATCACATTATCATGGTCCTGACAAGTTCCTTCAGTTTACCCCTGAATTGAGATTAAATTTTTCTCATTTTGGCTCCTTCTCTGCTTGGGGACTAAAGATACTTCCAAAGATAGAGTCTCAGGCACCAGAAAACCATTTGACACTTCCACAGAGGGCTTCCTGCATTTGAAAACATTTTTAGGCAACTTACGAGATGGGTCCTTTGCCCTTTGTCTCTGTGGTTGTGATTTCTGGTAGTTGTGACTCTGTCTACTGCGGTGTCCTATAGGGAGAGTTGGAGAGACTTCATGCCATCACTGCTCATGTCACCTGAGGGCCTGGAGCCCTGGCTGGGCCTCCTCTCTGAGAATCTGTTGCCCCAGTCAAGATTTTGGGTGTGAGGGGGAGAAGGAAGAGCTAGAACACAGCGAACTGATGTTCCCCTCTGTTACAGGCTGAACTGTATCCCCTCAAATTCATATCCTGAAGCCCCAACCCCCAGTACCTCTGAAAGTGACAGCATTTGGAGACAGGGCCTTTAAACAGGCGATTAAGTTAAAATGAGGTCATTAGTATGGGCCCTAATCCAATGTGAACTGATTTCCTTATAAGAAGAAGAAAGCTGGACACACAGAGAGACAGCAAGGGTGTGCACGCACAGAGGAAAGACTGTGTGGGGCACAGCAAGCAGGCAAGCCAAGGAGAGAGGAGATGACCGCAACCAAGGAAAGAGGCCTCAGAAGAAACCAAACCTGCCAACACCTTGATCGTGGACTTCTAGCCTCCAGAATTGTGAGAAAATAAATTTCTGTTGCTTAAGCCGCCCAGTCTGTGACATTTTGTTGTGGCAGCCCTAGCAAACCAATACACCCTCTGGTCTCATTGCTCATGTATTTTCCTCCATTACTTCATAAATGTGTCTCTCTACCCCTCCCTTATTCTAACTCCCTGCTTCCCTCCCTTCCTTCCAAAGATGTTTGGAAAGCACTTATTTTGTGCATGCCCTGTCCCAGGAATAGTGCAGTGCCTGGTCATTACCAGTGCCTGCTGCACTGCTAGAAGCTCCATTGCTGCCATGCCCCACTATGTGCTGGGGCCAGACCCACTCTGGGAAGTATTGCCATTGGCTGTTGCTTCTTCAAAATTGCTGGTCTTGTCTCTCATCTGCCGGAGAGATGAGGTTGAGTTCTTTCATTTCTTGCCACCTATTGCAGAGAGCAAAATTCACCCCAAGTATACTAGCGGAAGAGGAGGACTTAAAATGAAGACTCCAGTGTCTCAGACCTTCTCTTCCTATGGTTGGGATTTTACTTCCGCCTCCTTTCTCAAAGACGTAACTGGAAAAAGCCAGCCTCACATCTATCCAGGTCCAAAGAAACCAACTGCCACCTTTTTTTCAGTTCCTAAGAGACCTGGGTGAGGTTAGGAGGTGGGAGGAAAATGACCGTCACCTACCGTCACTGCTCAGTAGACAGTTTCCAGTAACTGCCCACAACCTCCAAGTGAGCCAATTTTCTAGGTACTTGAAAAATATCCCATTCCTTTGACCCTCACCAGTAACCCAGGCCACTCTCCCAGTCTGGCAGGGGTTGTTAAATCACGACCTCCTGTAGCTCTCTTGGAATCCGATTGCCGAAGAGGAGCCAGCAAGCCCTGGATTGGTTCTGGGCTCATAGATTTCACACTTTGTAAAGGCTGTTACAAAATATCATCTAAAGGCTTACTTAACCTCTGTTTGTTTCCATCAGAGGTTTAACTTGGCATCAGGGGTTCTTAGCATGAATTTTATAAAGTAACTTCAGGAGTCCATAGCCCTCAGAATAGTGTGCAATATTGTGTACGGTAGGTCCATTTTTTTTGTTCCAGGAGAAGATTCAGTTTCTCAAAGGCATTCAGGGCCTACCCAACACTATGAATTATTGATTTTTTTAATATTTATGTAGACATGACTTAACGAGAAAATTATGTACTTATTTCTGTCCTTTTCCTATTGTCATGTGTGATCCAGAGTCTAGTTTCACAAAGCTAACCTTGATTGAAACACACGTGGAGCTGCCACATTTGAGCCTGGTGTTTTGGTGTTACCACATATGTTTCAAATCATCAATATAATAATGACTATGAATATTTCTTTTGGTATTTGTTATTTTTAGATAATTCCCATGGATTTCCAAATGGTCCTTTGATGTAATTTAGTTTATCGAAAAAAAAAAAAAGATAGTGTTTTCTCACCAGTGTCTTTTGATATGACTCCAGGGCTGTTACCAAGATGAAGAGTTTGTCTGAAAGAGTCATTCTGGGAGAAGATGACTCATTTTTTATAAAGATTTCTAGGGTATTTTCTGATTTGCAAGTTTCTGTTTGATTTTTCTATCCTTCTCTGCTTATGTAGCAACTGACATTAGATTTTATAAGGATTTTTAAAAAGGATGTGTATTTGTTAATTTCTTGTTTTCCCATGTGTATGATCAACTACAGATTCCAAATTATTTTTAAGCCAAACCACACACTTACTGCATAGCCTTGTAAATTGTTTTATTTTCCTATAATGCTTCTGAGCACATGCATCTTGTTGAAATAAAATGAGCAGCAGTAATTCAGGTGTAGCAAAGGGCATTGAGAAAGTTTCAGATGGTTGTTAGGACTTTGGGTAGCTTTCATTCAAAAGGATTCTTCAAACTGTTTGGGGGTAGTTTCAAATGGAACATCAGGTTATTTAATCAAACTTTGGATCAGGACTTTGCATCATTTATGAATCTGTGGTAACTTTTTTGTTGTTGTTTGATTCCAATGGTAAATGATTATATTAATATGCTTGTAATAAATAATATGAGGTATGTAAAAGAGATTGGAATATAATTTCAATCCCAATCATCCCTCAAATTCAGTCTATTTCAGGAAACTTAAGTCTTGCTCTCCTTTACTTATATAAAGGAGGAGGAAATTGGGATGGATAAGGCAACTAGAGTAGAGAATTTAGTGTGGTTGGGTGTTCAGTGGCTTTTCTTAGTAAGGCCTTGTTCTTTCCCAATCTACAAGTATCCATTAGTTGAGGGATTGAGCAATGTCTTAGGGGAAGAAACTCAGGGGGAATTGTAACAGGGATGACCCTTCTCCTTCCCCTGGTCTGGAACTAATCTCCTCTCCAGAGCGTGTGTTAAAATGAACAACCCCAGAGAGTATGTTTAAATAATAAACTGCTTTCTGTTGAGTCCTGTAAGAAGGGAAAAGGGGTTATCTGAATAGAGCCTCTTCTCTGTCTAACTGTGACTATGGATGAGAAGTGGATGAGGAAAGGAGGCAAGGAAAAGGACTCTGGAGGAAACACACTGCCAGGTTCTTCTAGTTTGACCAAAGACAGCAGAGTTGTGGATTTAAAGCGTGCCACCCAGTCCCTTCAGCTTGGCCAACCCCAGCCCCTTCTTTAGGAATATCATTAGGCCTCCATATTTCTTCACTTAAATTGCAGAATCCAGGTACGTTCACACCCTCTCTTTGGTTTTCCTTACTACCTGCCTAGGGCTTGCCTTTATCTACTTCTAGGGTTTTCTTTTCCAGCCCTTAATTCTGACTCCAAATTCTTACCAATTTCCCCTCCTCGTTGTCCTGGGTTTTCCCTTTTTGCAGCATTTATCGCTTACTGGGACAGTCTTGTAAAAGACTTTGGGGGACATTTGGGAGTTGGGTAGCAAGAATCCCAACAGAAGGAGATTGTGTCTCTCAGCTACATGATGACAGATGAAAACCATCCCACTAACTGTGCAGTATTAATACAGACCAAATAGAACAAAGTGCCATACAGCTGAGCTGGCTCTGTGAGCAAAGCCTGAGCTGGGCCAACTTACTTGGCTTTTAAAATGACTTGATCTATGTCCATGAAGCCTTATCTTAACAAACGAAAACACAGAGGAGATTATAAGTTTTCATCTTGTGTTTTTACAGATTTTATTTTTTAATGTTGAAATAGGGCTCTTTG